TTTCTTAAAAGTGGTATATAAATGTTGTGATACATTGTTATTTCCTTGCCGCTGCATCCTCATCAAAGAGTGTAACAGAACAATCTTAATTGCACTTCCAGATAGCGTGTTCTCCCTAACAGAGAGCACGTGTTGCGGTGGGGGCCAGCAGGCCCCCCCACTGTTGCTGGGCAGTTATGTTTGGATGGCCACAGGCAGTGATTGGATAGTTTGAGTCTCTGAGGAGATTTTGATGTTGCCAATTTGGAGGAGGGGTCAAAGGTTTTAAATACTGGACACGCAGCTTTGGGCATCCTCTTGGGCTGCGTGCACAGGATCATCTGCCCACCCTCTCTGAATTGGGGGGGTTCTGTGCTTTGACCTTGCTATGCCTGTCATGGGGTCGCCTCCTTTTGGGGCAGGGGCCTGGTAGGAATTTTGTCCATTTGGCTGATTGGCTGGTGCCATTTGGTTTTTGCCTACTGCGTAGCAAATCATCACAACTTGTAAGGTTGGCGGTTAGGCATTGGTTCAAATTGGTTGGTGGAGGGGTAAGTGCCTACCCCTCCAATGGTGGTGCTGAAAGGGAATTCCGTTAAAGGAATCCAGGGGCTTGCCATTCTTTCGTCCAAGTCCCTGGCATCGGACTTGGGCTGTGCAAGCCCCCGGGAGCATGCGGGTGAGAAGTGAGGGACTGAGGCCCAGCTTCATTTTCTCCCCAAAAGTTGTTTCCCTGACTGGCTTTCACTGGAATCCGGAAGTCAGTTCTGTCCCTGGGGCAAGGACAGATAGTCATAATCAATGCCTAAGCAACCACTCGCATGTGTGTATTTGAATAAAGTTGTGGCCAAAATCATGCCAAAAACCTTAAACAAAATTGATGTGTGAAGTGTGAGTTTATTTGAGGTGGCTTGGGGACCTCGACACGCAAACAGTCAAACCTCGGTTTTTCAACATCTCGGCTGCCAAACATTTCAGAAGCCAAACTCTGAAAACCCGGAAGTGAATGTTTCCGCTTTCGAACACGCCTCAAAAGTCGAATGGCTTCTGATGCACGTTTCTCAATTTTCCCCACTGAACTTGCTGGCAGCCCTTTGACCCTCGGTTTTCAAGCGTTTTGGAAGTCGGACGGACTTCCTGAATGGATTACATTTGAAAACCAAGGTTCCACTGTATTGTAGAAGTGCAGAGGAGCACTTGCCAGTGGTACTCCAGCCATCAGTAGCCACTCTAAGGCTAAGCAGAGCCGGGAATGAACCTGCTGGATCCCAAGGCAGCCTGTTTCCCACAGAGCAGCCCATTTTGGGTCCCTGTGCAGCAGCAGCCTAAGAGGTGCTATAGGAAAATAAACCCTGCCCTCACTCTGACTGATGGGAGCTGACAGGCCTGTGAATGTGGTGGCGAATCCACTGCTCTGTGCCTCTCCTGCCCCAGTTACATGGGGCAATCCCATTTGACTCACACAACATTGCTGTGAGGTAAGCCAAGGTGAATGACAACTTTACCTAACAGGAATTTGAATCCCATGTCTCTCTGAGCCAGCTATGCTACTCACTATACCAGACTGCTGCTGTATATGTCATAGAATATTTTGTTCTTTGGGGTTTGTTTTTCTCCTGGTTATGGGTTATAACCAGCTAAATCATGCTCAGAACAGAGTTGCTGAATAGTCCTGGGCATTGTGGCTTGGGCCTATTTAGAGCATGAGAAGTTTTAAAAATAAATAATAATAATAATAATAATAATAATAATAATAATAATATTTATCCACTTCCAAGCACAAAGGTTTGGGGACAGATTTTGAATGCCTATAAGAGTATGTTTTAAATATACGAGGTGGTGGCTTAAGTCGCAAGGTATTTTTTAAAATCTTTTTTTAGCGTGCCTACGAGAGACCTCTGAAGATGTCTTTATAATGAGCTCTGCGTTAATTTTAAGAAATCAGTGTGATGTGCTGCTTGCAGATTATAATGTAATTCTGTAATACAAATTAGATCGGCTTTGAATGCCTTTGAAATGTAGTGTGTTTAAAATGGTATGTACAGGTTAAAAGTTACAGATTCAGAACAACCGGCATTAACATGAAATTATCACACGTGCTTTGATAGAGTCCTAGAATGATTCAAAAGCGCAAGTTTCGTATGAAGCCGCCTCGGTTTCTTTGATAGTCACCTTGATCTTTATGCTGTCATCTATTAATTATATTACAGATAAGGTAAATAAAAAGTGTTGGAATATTGAGATCACAGCCTTCTTTTTTCCTGTGAAGACTAAAGGTGTAGGCTTCTATGAAGTCAGTGAGCAATGAAGGGATGATAAAGGTATTCTTTCTTTCTGTCAAACAGTATTTATTTTGACACGTGACAGAAAGAGATCTTGAGCTCAGCTGCTAAAAGCACAGCAGAGAGGGAGCAAAGTACAAGGCTGGACTTTTGGGAGACTCAACTGGTCAAGCTTTGCTGGACTGTATCACTTTGGGCTGCAGGGAACGGCTTGCATATTTGAAGACCCCCCAAGTATATGAGAGAGAGAGAGAGAGAGAGAGTTTAAAAATCTCCCTGCATATAGAAAAATAGTACATTCCAGAGAACAATTAGCCAAATCCTCCCCATTGTCATGCCAAATTTACATTGCAGGAATGCAGGTTTTTCTTTTGTTGTGTATGGAGGAAGGCGCTCAGACCCATGATTCTCTCCTCTGCAGCAAGAAATGCTACAGCTCTAGAAAAAAAAAGGTATGGAAGTGAGAGCTGGACCATAAAGAAGGCTGGTTGCCAAAGAACTGATGCATTTGAATTATGGTGCTGGAGGAGACTCTTGAGAGTCCCATGGACTGCAAGAAGATCAAACCTATCCATTCTGAAGGAAATCAGCCCTGAGTGCTCACTGGAAGGACAGATCCTGAAGCTGAGGCCCCAATACTTTGGCCACCTCATGAGAAGAGAAGACTCCCTGGAAAAGACCCTGATGTTGGGAAAGATGGAGGGCACAAGGAGAAGGGGACGACAGAGGGTGAGATGGTTGGATAGTGTTCTCGAAGCTACCAGCATGAGTTTGACCAAACTGCAGGAAGCAGTGGAAGACAGGAGTGCCTGGCGTGCTCTGGTCTATGGGGTCACGAAGGGTCGGACACGACTAAACGACTAAACAACAACAGCAAAAATGGATTCTGCTGATTCACTTTAGATGCGCTGCAGGGTGAGGTTGCTAGCAGACAAAAATGGCAGGGGCTTCCCAAGGTCAGTAAAACATCTGGCAATGCCCCTATTTCTTCCTTTATTTTCCGTTTTCCTTTCCTTGCATGGGCTAATGCATCTGTGATGCTCAGCTCATCTGGAAAAGTAACAGCTGGAATAGGCTGACCATTAGATTTGGGTTTGAGAATCCCAGGCTCAGATCTGCACTTAGCTAGAAGACCACCCTTTTATTAATGTCCATGCATTTCCAGACCCTGGAAGTGCCCCTATTTTCCAGGGACATGCCTGGTTTAGAGAAGCCATCCCAGTGTCTGATTTGATCCCGGAATGTCCCACTTTTCCTTAGGATGTTCCTGTTTTCACTCGAGAAATGTTGGAGGGGATGGAGTTATCCGACTCCTGAGCCTTCTGAAAGCAATTCTGGTATAGGGAAGGTTTTTTGAAATGTTTAATGTTTTATTATGTTGTTATATATGTTGGAAGCTGCCCAGCATGGCTGGGGCAACCTGGTAAGAAGTGTAGTGTATAAATAGCAAAATTATCATTATGGAATGGGACATTCCTATTTTCATCAGAGAAATGTTGGAGGATATGCATTTCAGTCATACATTTTAAGGCATTTTAAGGAAATTACTCTGCTTTTTGGGACTTTATTTAGGTATATTTATAGATATATCCTGCCAAATTATTGCATTACAGGTTTTGAGAAGGAGAGAGAAGAGGGAAGCAAAACGGCTGGATGAAACTGACATTAAAGCAACTATCAACCCCCAATGCTTAAAACATTGTTTTTTTCTAAAGAGAACTCTTTCTATTAGTAGCTCCCTAAAAGACATCAAACCGTTGACTAGCAGGGATACACAAGTATCCTTGAGATTTCTCCAGAAGGGATCAAGGCTTTGAGTGGATTGTGAGCAAACATGTGTAAAACCCTTGATGGTTCTTGAAAAGCACCAACTTTACCACCCTCCTATTCCCCTGCCTCAAAGCTACACGTTAATTTACCTTTGGGTGGGAGATTCAGAAGATCAAGGCCACCTCCCATCTTTTCATGCCCAGAGCTGGATTAGGATGTCAACTCACAGCATCCCCAACAGGAAATGCTATTCCCACCGAGGAAAAGTCAATAGAAGATGCTATGGCAGGAACTGGAGCTTTGAAAGCAACTGCTGCCACCTCTGTTTTTCCCCTGCCCAATGCTAAATTAATGGTTAATTGAAGTGGACTGGGATGTTGAGCCGTGGGGAGAGGGGAATGACCAGAAGCATGTATACTCCTCCATTTTTGAATGCATGGAAGAATGTTCTTGTTGTTGTTGTTGTTGTTGTTTATTACTTATACCCCACTCATCTGGCCAGGCCTCCCCAGCCACTCTGGGCAGCTCTCAACAGGATATTAAAAACACAATAAAACATCAAACATTAAAAACTTCCCTAAGCAGGGCTGCCTTCGGATGTCTTCCAAAAGTCAGATAGTTGTTTATTTCCTCAACATCTGATGGGAGGGCGTTCCACAGGGCGGACGCCACTACCAAGAAGGCCCTCTGCCTGCTTCTCTGCAACCTCACTTCTCACAGTGAGGGACCCGCCAGAAGGCCCTTGGAGCTGGACCTCAGTGTCCGGGCTGAACAATGGGGGTGAAGACACTCCTTCAGCTATATGGAAGATTGACTTCTGAAGCTGCTTATTGTGTGCCTCAGATAGTAAATGAACTTGAAGCAATGGTCTTAATCCAGGAAAGAACAAAGGGGGAAAAGACATTCCTTTAGTCAATGTGGACTGGCCTGGCTTTAGAAGTAAACAATTTTTATTTTTTTAAGCGCCTTGAATTGAGTCCAGAAAACACATCTCTCTCTCTCTCTCTCTCTCTCTCTGTGTGTGTGTGTGTGTGTGTGTGTGTGTGAGAGAGAGAGAGAGAGAGAGAGAGAGAGAGAGAGAGAACGATTTATGCATCATCTGTGTGAGGGCCAAAACCTTTAAAATGTAATTTGTCTAAAGTAATAAAACTACTCCAAATCTTTCCCAAGTACATTTTTCTCTCTGCTAAGACTGGCTGCAGTCCATAACTCAATTGCTCCAGAGAAGTTCTGTTGCAGACAGTGGAGCTGCTCCAGAATGAGTCAGTATGAGCAGACTGTCGTCATTTTTATTTATTTTGTGAACTCCCTTTATAGTGAAGATATATGATTTTTCCAGTAAGTTTATTTTTTCACAAACTATGGAATGCAATTAGGTAGCTTATTATCTAAAATCTAAATCTGCTGACTGGATATGGTTTCGAAAATAACTTTTTTAAGAGAGCGGGGGTGGAGAGAGTAAGAAAGATGTAAATGATGGGAAACATTTTGTTAATTTGATTTTTAAAAAATTAAAAACGTTTAAACACTTTAGAAGTAAGAAGGGCTGAATTCGGTCACTGTTAAATTAGGTGATACAATAGCTTTGCACATGGAAAAGGCATTGCAATGACACAACACTGGAGGTGGGGAAATCATAAAATTGTAAAATTGGAAGGGATTCCAGGTCCATCTAGTCCACCCCCTGTAATGCAGGAATCTCAGCTTAAGCATCCATGGCAGATGGCCACCCAACCTCTGCTTAAAAACATCCAAAGAAGGAGAGTCCACCGCCTCCCGTGGGAATCTGTTCCACTGCCAAACAGCACTTACTGCCAGAAAGTTCTTCCTGATATTTAGTTTGAATCTTCTTCCTTGTAACTTGAAGTCACTGGTTTGAGCCCTACTCTCCCGAGCAGGAGAAAACAAGCTTGTGCCATCTTCCACATGACCCTTTAGATATTTGAAGAAAGCTATCATATCTCCTCTCAGTCTCCTCTTTTCCAGACTAAACATACCCAATTCCCTCAACCGTTCCTCATAAGGCTTGGTTTCCAGTTCCTGGTCATCTTGGTTGCCCTCCTATGTACACGTTCCAGCTTGTCAACACCCTTCTTAAATTGTGGTGACCAGAACTGGGCACAGTATTCCAGGTGTGGTCTGACCAAGGAAGGATCTGATAGCAGGGGGTTATTTGCAGGTCCACTTGCATGATTTGAAGGGCCCCCGGGTATAGTGTCTGCTGGGCCTCCTTCTTTGTCACTGCTAACCTCTACCATGCTCACCTGCCTTCTGGCCATGTTCCCAGCAGCTCTGAGCAGCTGGTTCTAGTCACCTTTTAAATTTCCCATAATCCTCCAGGGTGACACTGTGGGGGGGGGGGTTAGGGGAAAGGAAAAAGGTGTTTAGATTCAGTCATCTGGTGCTGTCTAGGGTGCTGAATCGGGGGGGGGGGGGATGGCGGAAGCAGGAAGACACAGCAGACCCTGCAGGACAGGCGTAACTTTTAAGCAGAGTGAGGCAGCAACTATTCCCCTCCATCAGTCCTCCTGAGGCCCCCCACCCAGGTATTCCCTTCTGTTGAAAATCACACCCTTGTGTGCCCCATACTTGTCACACACCTCCCTAAACGAGTCTGCTTCCCTCAAGCTTTTTGGAAGTGATGCTCCCTTCAGTAAAATTCGGCAGCAGGTCATCAGTCCAGGCACCTTTTGTATGTGGAAAGTGGGAGGCAGGCTGCCATCTTGTCTTTTACAGGGAACCAGGCAGAGGGCCTTCTCGGTAGTGGCTCCCGCCCTGTGGAATGCCCTCCCACCAGATGTCAAAGAGAAAAATAACTACCAAACTTTTAGAAGACATCTGAAGGAAGCCCTGTTTAGGGAAGCTTTTAATGTTTAATAGGTTATTGTATTTTAGTGTTCTGTTGGAAGCCGCCCAGAGTGGCTGGGGAAACCCAGCCGGATGGGCGGGGTATAAATAATAAATTATTATTATTATTATTTTACCTCAAGCAGCAAAATGTCTTGGGCTACTCTGAGGGCTGCCAAAACTCTGGCAGCTGCCAAAGGCTGATCCCGATTTCTGAGAGAATGCTTATCTAGAAGGAAGGATTTCTATATTTGCTTCCCAGAGATGGCCCACAGCCATTTTGGTCCCTGAGGCAAATAGTTCAATCAGTCCAAATGGTGTCCTCTTTTGAGGGTAAAGGTCCACTTAGCCTCAGACCATTAGACTGAAAGAGCAGGACCATCCAACTTGCAAAGTGTGGTGTTTCCTAGATGGAGCATGAAGCCCAATAGATTGCAGTGTTAATGGGGTAGTACTTAGTGGGTCAGAGGCCTCAAGGCAGCATGAGTGAATGGAGAGTAGAAAACATTTTCATGTTAAGCCTGTTCTTGTCCCCAAAGCCTGTACTTTTAGGTTCTCCCCCTTGAAACTTCAGGCACCTATCAACCTTCTAGTAAAATGCTAACAAATTACTGTATTTTTCGCCCCATAGGGCGCACCAGCTCATAGGGCGAACCTAGTTTTTTTTTGGGGGGGGGAATAAAGAAAAAACTTTTATTCCCCCCCCCCAGGCACGGAGCTGGGGCGGGGGAAGCCCGAGCTTCCCCCGACCCCAGCCCCCAGAACAGGCTTCTATCCGCAAGCCTAGGGAGCCCAGCGGGAAGTCGCACCGGTCTCCCCAGGCTTGCGGATATCTGCCCGAAGCCCGGGGCGCGCTCCGCTGCGCTCCCCAGGTTTTGGGCTGCAGGCTGCTATCCACAAGCTTTCGGAGCCCGGCGGGAACTCCCGCGGGCTCCCAAGGCTTGCGGATAGCTTCCTGAAGCCTGGAGAGCGAGAGGGGTTGGTGCGCACCGACCCCTCTCACTCTCCAGGCTTCAGCAAAAGCCTGCATTCGCCCCATAGGACACACACACATTTCCCCTTCATTTTTGGAGGGGAAAAAGTGCGTCCTATAGGGCGAAAAATTCGGTATTTACAATGTGCTGCTCTTCAGTTATACCCCAAAGCCTGCTGCTGAAGGTGGTCAATATCACTATCTAGGAACCTAGGAAGATGCCTGACTCTGATTCAGATTATTGTTCCAGCTTTCTTGGCATTGTCCACACTGACCAGAAGTAGCTCTCCAGAGTTTCAGACGGGGGTCTTTCCTTGCTGCGCTTGGATATGACCGAGACTGAACCTAGTGCCCTTCCCTATCTCTAACAGGGTCAATTCTGCTTCTTCCTTCCCCCACCCAAAGCAATGGGAACATTACAGAGATTGAAACGTCCTCTTTGAACAAGGAACTTTCCTTCCTCACAACCAACTGGGAAGCAGGACACACTAAGCAATGACTCTATGTGGGATTTGGTGCAAATGGCACCAGCTGTTCCCCACATATATCCTGGGAAACAAGCTGGTGTAAACACACCGTAAGATGTAACAAAGCCTGCCCGTGCTTTTGGCTTGTTGTCACAACCTGATTTCCATCTGCAGCCAAATGAACTGTTGAGGGCATAACGAGTTGCCCCCTTGGCAGCCACAACTGGTGGCACAATTGTGAGTCGAGATTTACATCTACAAGCCTTCATCTTTCTGGTTAATACTTTCAGTCAGCTTCACACAAAATGCTAGCTGTGTTTTGTTGGTTTTTCAAATGCATGTGACAATGTGTAGCGTAAACCGAGCACCCGGAGTTTGACACTGTCTGATCTCAAGGAGAGCAAACCTTTTAAATTAATGTTTGAGCATTTAATTCATGAATGTTGGTTTTGTATTGTTCCACTTCCATTCGCTCCTCTTTTTTGAGTTCTCTTAGTCGGATGTAGGAAAGCACAAAAACGTGAAACTCCCACAATCCTTAGAAAATGTTGCCCTAAATGTTACTTCTCATCTCTTGCTTTTAAAAAGAAACAAGGAGGGAGGGGGAAGAGAAATGCCTCTGGATTGACCTTGTGTTGAAAGTCAATATTGGAATTATTGCCTTGGTGTGGAGGGGAGGCAGATGGGGAGGGCAGAGTTGGGACCATATCTACCGGATTAGAAGACCGTAGCCAAGATACAGTGTCTGAGCCCGGGGAGAGATTCAGAGCTTTGCTTGTATTGACAGATGATTAGAGGACTTTGACTTCTCATGCATTTAGAAAGGTCAATCACTCTGTGATAACAGAGACTGGCACCTCAGACCCCAGTTTCCTATTCCAGATTCGTCATATTTGGCAAAAGCCTACAGTGTATAAGGCTACAGAGGCTAGCCAGCTGACACCCTGGGCCTCGGTCTCCAATCACAAAGCTTCATAAAGGCCATTTGCTTATATGCCTCATAATTATGTTTAGCTGTTAAAGCCATTTGCAATGCTTACTTCTCTCCCTGAGAATCCACATTGCAATAATGCAATAACTTTGCCATTTTATGCTCAACCTTTTAAACTCGTTAACAGCTTCTCGGTCTATACGGTTTGCTGCGGCTGTTGCTGTCTGAAGGGAGCTAACAAGTATATCACAAAGTTCAGAAGGGCTTATTATCAAATCAAAAAGAACTGAAAAGTGCTTAGCTTTGGCTAGTTCATGTCCATAGTATTTTAGTTGGGTAGGGCTGCTCCTAAACACACAAATCCTTAGAATAACCCAGTAAGGAAGGTCAAAATCATAATTTATTTAGATGCCAACTTTCTTGAATAGAGCCCTGGGCAACATGCTTCACAGTAGGTCCCTTACTCTTGCAGTGACTGATCGAAGATCTGTTTAACTTTAGCAAGTGTCTATGCACAAAGCATAGAAAAGTAGGTAGACTTTGGCCAGGAAGTCGCCTCCTGAGCAATGGCTCCAAACTCCTAATAGCAAAGTCTCGTCCTCTCAAAGCCTCTTCTTCTCAGCGTCCACATTGGGAGGTTCTCCACTAAACAAGGACACTACTGAGTTAGTGTCTTAAGAGGAAGTTGCCAAATATTTCCCTTTTCATGGCTATTGATTGCAAAGCCAACATGTGACTTGGAAGGACTGGTTCATTGCCAAGGGAGAGATAGCTCATCTCTCACATGCAAACCTCATGCTCCTAAGATGCTGGAAAGCTGTCTAGCCTGGGAGGCAACTCCTAGGGGCTGTGGGGGCTTCATAAAATATTTGAGGAGGCTGGGCCCCCACAAAGCTTATGGGCATTCCCATCCAAATGGTTTGTATGCACTGTGTCATGAGATCAATAATGCAGGGCTTACCTGGGCCCCCACAATATTTTATTCGAATTGGCACTCCTGCTGTTTAGTGCCATATCTTGAAGGGAAGTACACCACCTCTATTACTGTGCACTCTCTGGTGGTCTTACCAGAAGCCCAGAGACCTTTCTCCTGACATAATAAATTCCTATACAAAACAAGCTCCTTAAAGGATGCAGCCTAGCAGGCGTCTCATATTAGCTACAGAGCAGTTTCAGGTCCCTATATAGGCCCTACCTAGGACATCAAAGAGGCAATGTGTTGGACATTATCTACCCCTTTGGGATAACAATATATCACCAAGTATTTCCGATACAGCAAGGTTGCGGCATTATGTGTCCACAATATCCCTGTTTTGTGCCAGTGTGGGAGGAAAAGCTGTAGAATAATAGCTTGCCCAAGTTTATCTTAAGTGTTTGTGGGTGAGGTGAGACTGGAACAACAGATTTAAAGGTTTACACGTCAGGCACTGCAATCTACCAACTCTCAACGTAGCTGAATAGGGCTGGTCCATGAAGGATGTTGCTGCAGGCCAGGGGAAGATGTTGTCTCTGTGAAGCTTCTGGATTCCATCACTCGAAGTCTTACAAGACCCAGAATCTGAACTCAGGTCTTTTAAGAGTCATAAACTAACCATCAAACGAGGCAGGAAGGTGGCACAACACACCCACTCTGGCAAATGAACATACTAGCCTCTGTATGGGGATCAGAGTGAATTTTCTCGTGTCAGCCCTGCTGAGCTTTTAATGAGGCTTGTGCTAATGTTGGTCTTTTTTCATCAATATTGCAGCAGGAGCAGCATGGACTGATGTGGTGAGACTAGGGAGGCCCATGT